CAGGTGCGCGCTGAGCTCCTGAAGTTAGACTGTGGTCCTTCACCCTGTGGTGGTAATTACCCCTCTGGTCTCCTTTGCAAACCTCTGGGATGGGGACTATGGCAAAAATACCTTTAAACTTGATACCCCAAAGCTCCCTGCCCTCTTCTTCACGCCCCCCTTTTCCTCTCTTGGCAGTGATGGCATCTCGGGCCCCCCGGAAGGTGCTGGGCTCCTCTACCTCTTCCAGTAACATCACATCGTCTTCATCTCGGAAAGGTAAAATGCATCTGTGCAAGCTCCTAGTTGAAAAGGAATCACCCCCCAATCAAGCCCAATACCAATGTCCTTTGGACCCACAAACCCACCCCTTCCATCCCTGGGAATTTGTCTGGGGATTCTCATGCCGAAATTTCTTCTTTGCCCTTTGAGGGGAAAAGAAGAGGGGGCTTGGCCTTTAGGCAGGCTGGAGTAGAAGTGGGGTCTCATGGAAAAGAATCACAAGTCTTAGGGTTAGGGTTGAGCTCAGCTTAATGTCAAACCATTTCATCTTTTTCAGCTTAATGTTTTGTTTTGTCCTTAAATCGACCGATGAGGTTTTCCTTATAAGACACTATTTAAGCTCCCCTCCACCCCGCAACTCCCCTGCCCCTCCTCAAAGTAGATTAGGAATTAGCACCAAGGTCGCCAGCGCTCACCATTACTTTGTCCTCTTTGTGTAACCCCCCCCCTTGTTTCTGCGTGTTTTCCTTCTTTTGTTCTTTTATTCCATGCTCTCTTCTTTCCATCCTTTTAAAATTTTCTCAACTATAGTGTAAGTGTGTGCTTTCTAACTTTGCAGTTTCTGTTCTGCCTTGGAGAGGGGAGAGTAGGACAGAAAATCAGGATAGGAAATTAGTTGCAGCATGTTCCTTTTGTATGTGGAGAGGAGCAGAAAATACTGTGCTATCTAGTACTTTGTGCCTTTCAGTAGAAAGTTGAACTTCAGGTGGAGAGATGGATTGCACAAGACCATTTAGAGCTGTGTTAAAATTTGGTTGGTTTTTAAGTTAACTCGAATGTCACCTTATTTTAAACATTTCCTTAGAAAATACTTGATATTTCAGTTTCTTTAGATAAAAAAGGAGTGCTGATGGCCTAAGTGGTTATACTTATGCAAGGTTAGCAGCTTGCAGGAGAAAATTGACAGTCTCTGGAGCTCACAGGCACAGTTCTATGAGTTTGCTTTGAGTTTAGGTAAAAGATAACAGAAATAAAAAATTTTGAAAGAAGATTACATTATGGTCTTGAGACTACCGCATGCTGTGTGCCAGGAATGGTTAAGTGCTCAACCACGATGCCAAAGGTTGGCAGTTTGAACCCACCCAGATTGAACCCACCCTCCTGAATGTCACAAGCTTGAAAACACGGCGGAGCAGCTTTGCTCTGCGCATATGAGCGCACTGAAAGGTAACGAAGAACAACAAATAAGCTGACTAAAATTCTGTTAGGTCCACGTTCAGTCACTGGTTGACTCATCAGAACCAATTGAATAGGACTGGCCTTCATGAATATGCATTTCACTTAATTTTATATGCCTCAGGATCCCTTTTAGACATTTTACATGTTAATTTTAGTCTCAATGAATAACTATTTGAAATTGGCAATATTGTCCCATTTTAAAGATGAAATTTCAGTCCAGGTTACATAACTCGGTCTCCTAACTAAATCAGAAGATTGGGATTCAAAAAAATAAAAAGATTGGATTCAAATCTGAATTTTCGGATGCTGGCATATACTCTCTAATGGGGCAATTACTGGCTTAAATTTCCTCCAGGAAAGCTATGAACCAAAGGATCACTTTTTTAAAGGCCATTTATGCATTTTGAAAAGTACATGCATTATAACCACATACAGAATATATGAAAGTAACTTTTGTCAGCTTCCTATAACAGTTGCAGGCTGAGGTAGTTTATTGTGCCAACCTGGCCAATAAACACATGTAAGGTTAATTGCAAGGGTGGGGGCGGGATAAATGGCTTGGTGAGCCTCACCTTTCTAGTTCTTGGGTCTCTTGCTTTCTGATGGTCAGAACAGGGTGCAGCTGCCTTAGCCAGTTCCCTGCTTCAGCTGGCAAGGCTCACTTCCTGCAAGACATCCCTGAGGAGAAGCCACATGGAACTACCCCGATGCAGCCCTGCGTGCTGGAGTAGCCATGTGGAAGCCCCTGCCAGCGCTGAGATGCTTACACATTCACTGACTCAGCTTTCCTCCTGCAGTCAGCATCATTGCGTCTTTTTTGTGAGATGGAGGAGGACTTTATGGATTGGTGTTGGACATATGGGTTAATGTTGGACTTGTGGGCTTGGGCAGCACTGTTTTGGGATGTTTTCTTGATGTGCACTTAACCTTTATATAAAACTCTTATACGTGAGTTTCTGTGGATTTCTTTCTCTAAAGTACCCAGGCTAACACACAGGCATAGATGTTTAAAGCATAGATCCTTCTCTTACTTCCAGTCATTACTGACTCATAGTGACCCTATAGGACAGAGAAGAACTGCCCTTGAAAGTTTCTCAGACTGTAACTCCACAGGAGTAGAAAGCCCCATTTTTCTTCCAAACTGCTGACCTTTCGGATCGCAGTCCAGTGGGTAATCACGAGGCCACCAGTACTCCTAAAGCATAGATACGCTAGTGATTCAATGATTTGCCCCTATTGGTTTTTCTTTTCCTTTTTCCCCTGAAGGAGCAAGAATTTTCCTTTTATATTACTCTTAAAAAACAATCAGGAATTAGGCTTACTTTATGAGTTGGAAAAAGGGAACCAGATTCTTTGTGGAAACTTTCACATTGCTGTTTTGCCTCTTATATATGCTATAACCAAATGACCTTATTAACTAACAATGTGATAGTCTATAGTACAGTGGTTCTCAACCGTCCTAATGCCATGACGCTTTCATACAGTGCCTCATGTTGGAGTGACCCCAACTATAAAATTATTTCCATTGCTACTTCATAACTAATTTTGCTACTGTTATGAATCAGGCGACCCCTGTGAAAGAGTTGTTTGACCCCCAAAGGGGTTGTGACCCACATGTTGAGAAGCACTGCTATAGTACATGGTGCCACCTTTACATTTGGAGAAATTGGATGAAACTTTAGTATTAGAATTAGTATTGAAATAGCTTCTTGTGAAAAAACGAAAAAATGTTTTACAGTTGTGTTCTTATTTAGTTATATTTATTTATGTTTTACAGCTGAAAATAAGTATGCAGGGGGGAATCCAGTTTGTGTGCGCCCAACTCCCAAATGGCAAAAAGGAATTGGAGAATTCTTCAGTCTGTCCACTAAAGATTCAGAAAAAGAGAATCGGAGTCCTGAAGAACCAGGATGTAGTGGCTTAGGAAATTCAAAAAGAAAGTAAGGTTTTATTTTCTGGAATACTAAGAAAATACTTATATTTTGGAAAATAAGAACAAATGAATGTTAAGTGACTTTGAAGTTTCTCTCCAAGCTGATAAAATAATACAAACCAAAGATTGTTTTGAACTTGTAAGAAATGTTTTATTATAAATTACTCCCCAAATCTCTTACCAGTAAAAGATATTAATTTTACTTATTTACTCAGATTATATCAGTTCCCATTCAGATTATATAAGTTCTACACTGTAAGTGCTAACTTCCTATCTTTATTCTTTTTCTTTTTTAATCATTTTATTAGGGGCTCATACAACTCATCACAATCCACACATACATCAATTGTGTAAAGCACATTTGTACATTCATTGCCCTCATCATTCTCAAAACATTTGCTCTCCACTTAAGCCCCTGGCATCAGCTTCTCATTTTTCCTCCTCCCTTCCCGCTTGATAATTTATAAATTGTTAATTTATAAATTGTTTTGTCATATTTTACACTGTCCAACATCTCCCTTCACCCACTTTTCTGTTGTCCATCCCCCAGGGAGGAGGTTATAAGTAGATTCTTGTAATCGGTTCCCCTTTTCCACCCCATCCTCCCTCCATTATTCTTTAATTTTCACCATCTACTTTTAATATTTTTTTATTTTTTAACAAAAAAGCAAAACTATTTTCACTCTGGTTATTCTAATTTGAATTCTATCAACTCTTACCTCTCCAAAAATTATTAATTCAACTACTACAAGAAATGTATAACCAATGAAGAAAGATTGGAAAATACGGAAATTCCATCATCTATGAACAACCAAGATGTGTTTTCTTTCCAACTTTTTTATAACATACAAGAATACTGGAGAGCCCCCCCCCCCATTCCCTCCTTGCCAGCCCCTCTGCCATGGCCTGGATCTCGGGGAATGGTGGGGACATTTTGAAGCAGGGGGAGCAGAAGTGTGTGTCTGGGTCTGGTTACTGTCCTCGCTAGGGTGACTGTTCTAGAGTGGCCTCAGGATAGGCGGGGGCCACACCATCTCTGCACCCCAGTGAAGGTGACCCATGCAGTCTCGGCTGCGGAGAGGGTGGCGCTGTGTGATGCTTAGGCATCTCCCCATCCCAAAGGCAGCCTGATGGGAGCAGGCGGGGTTCCTTGCTCTGCCCTCCCATAGGGAGGGAAGCCATGCTAAGACGTCAACCTCAGGGACTTGGGTTGGGTTCTTTTGATCCTGAGAGCTGTTCTGAGAGCAGAGGACAACATGGGCCATTGTCAATAACCAATTCTGAATCTCAAAAAAAAAAAAAGAGTACTGGAGAACAACATAAGGTGGGGATAAAAGTATACACACAGACAGAGTTCAGTGTATAAGTCTTTACTAAATCATGTTTTTAAGGTTTTTTTTATCATTTTATTAGGGCTCATACAACTCTTATCAAAATCCATACATACATCAATTGTATAAAGCACATTTGTACATTCATTGCCCTCATCATTCTCAAAACATTTGCTCTCTACTTAAGCCCCAGGCATCAGCTCATTTTTTACCCCTCCCTCCCCGTCCCCTCTCCCTCATAAACACTTGATAATTTATAAATTATTATTTGTCACTGTCTTACACTGTTCAACGTCTCCCTTCACCCACTTTTCTGTTGTTCGTCCCCTGGGGAGGAGGTTATATGTAGATCCTTGTAATCGGTTCCCCCTTTCCACCCAACCCTCCTGGTATAGCCACTCTTACCACTGGTCCTGAAAGAATCATCCACCCTGGGTTCCCTGGGTTTCCAGTTCCTATCTGTACCAGTGTACATCATCTGGTCTAGCCGGATTTGTAGGGTAGAATTGGGATCATGATAGTTGGTGGGCAGGGTGGGGGGGCAGGGAATGGAAGCATTTAGGAACTATAGGAAAGTTGTATGTTCCATCATTGCTACACTGCACCCTGACTGGCTCTTAACCCCGCGACCCTTCTGTAAGGGGATGTTCAACTGCCTACAGATGGGCTTTGGGACTCCACTCCACACTCCTCCTTATTCACAATGATATGATTTTTTGTTCTGATGATGCCAGATACCTGAGCCCTTCGACACCTCGTGATTGCACAGGCTGGTGTGCTTCTTCCATGTGGTCTTTGTTGCTTCTGAGCTAGATGGACGCTTGTTTACCTCATGTTTTAATGACAGGAAAATGCTCATGATAAATGTTAAGCAAAAACCCTGGATATATTGTGTTAAAGACATTAATATGTCTTGTGTACAAAATAGAGCAAATATTAATAATGATTATCTCTGGGTAAAAGAATATCTTCATGCTCAATCATCACTTTAAAGAATCCCAGAGGGTGGGAGGAAAGACAATAGAAACCTATTACATATTTTAAAATAATTAGATGTGTAAATAATGATGTCTAGCTTCTCTAAACAGCTTGTAAATGTTTTGTTTTAAAAGCAGAGTACTTGAGGGAGGTGTTGGTGGGCATACTAGGGGGTACCCCCCCAAACTGGAATTTTTTTACTCCCAAAGCTATGTATTTAGTTTTTTTTTACTAAACCACCTATTACCTTCAAAGTACTCTCCATTACACTTAATACATTTGTCAAATCTGTGATTTCGTCCTTGGAAACATTTTTTCAAACTGATCTGTTTGGATGGCTGACAGCACCTTCCTCGTTTTTTTCTTCACCTCTTCTATGTCATCAAATCGCTGTCCTTTCACGTTCCTCTTCATTCTCGGAAACAAAAAGAAGTCACAAGGAGCGAGGTTAGGTGAGTAAGGTGTGTGGGGCAAGAGAGGCACGCTGTTTTTGCCAAAAGTGGTGCACTGAGAAGGCTGTGTGAGCAGGTGCATTGTTGTGGTGGAAAAACCAGTCCCCTGTCTGCCACATGATCGGGGACATGGACTTATCAGAAGCCACCTCAGGGATGATCCAGAGAGATTTCAGCATCCACTGCCAGCAACTCCGACCATGGAAGGGCCTAGAGGAAGATGGGGCTGTGGTTACAAAGCAGTGAGCTGGTGGACTGGTTGAACCTGGGCTCGCAAGGCAGTGCCTTCACAGCCTGAAAGGGCCAGCTGCTCTCCACTGTCCCCACTGTCCCCCATTCGCCAGGACCAGCTCCCTCTGTCACCACCACTCAGCCCACACCCACACTTACCACCCTGCCAAGAACCTTTCACCCAAAGTAGATGTTGAGCCATTGATTTCTGTGTCTTTTCTGTATCTTAAGCTTGCTCACAAGGCATTGGAACAAATCCTTCCTGTACCAAAGTGCCAGACCACCTGTGAGGTGTATGACCAAGGAAAGCATTAAAGTTCATTGTGCACTGCCCCCCAAAAAAGAAAAGAAAGAAAAGGAAATGACTGAAAGAGTACACATATGAAATGTTTATTCATATAAATGTTTAGAAAATAATGATGGCAACATATATACAATTATGTTTGATACAACAGATGTATGGCTTGTTATAAGAGCTGTAAGAGCCCCCAATAAAATGATATTTTATTTAAAACAAAGTTTAAAAATAAGTTAATACTGTTCTATAAGGTCATTGGTAAATGGTTTCTAAGTGACTACTATCCATATTGAAAGATATGAAAGGAAGAGTCCTTGTTGCTACATCACCATTATGATTTGAAATTGAAGTTGCTGTAAAATTAGTAATCAAATAGGTACAGTTTTAGATAGAATTATTTTAATAGACTTGCTTTTATGATCTGAAGTCTCTTCTAGTTTCCTTTCATAGCCTAGACTCTAGAACAACAGTCTTCCTTGTTCTTTCTCTTTCTAATTAAGAGGTTGGGTGGTGTGGTAAGCTAAGCTTTGGTCTGCCAACATTTCAAACCCACCAGTCATTCAATGGGAGACAGAAGAGGTGGTCAGCTTTTGTAGGTTTGCAACCTTGGAAACCCATGGGAGCAGTTCTGTTCAATCTGTAGGGTCACTATGAGACAGGATCAACTCAATGCTAGTGGATTTAGTTTGGGGTGTGGAATAGTCAACATTGGCTCTCAGCTGTGTTTCAATCCTGTTAAATTATTTGTGATTTATAGTTGGAAACTAAAATGCCAGTACAATCAAATTTGATTATAAGACTAGACTAGAGAGAGATCACACCTACCGTATATACTCAAGTATAAGCTGACCCGAATATCAGCTGAGGCACCTAATTTTACCACAAAAACGGCATTAAAAATGTGCTGAAAAACTCGGCTTATACATGAGTATATACAGTATTTTCCTAAAGAAATTTGAACACAATGGATGTATTAAATGTTTATTTTTCTTTACAAACCCCAGAAATCCCTTTAGCACCTTAGTTTCCTAGGTTATACTATGCAACTTATATGTTTGTGCATGTTATTGTGTGACAGTATAGTATTTCTTAATTGAAATTTTCCCTAAAAAATGTAAATTGAGTACACAATGGATTTGGTATAAATTTGGTATACATCTTTAATTCAAGGTATTATAAAATCTATGACATAATAGTATTCTTCTAAAACTTGGTAGGCAACTGAGTTTTACATTATTCTATCAGAACCTTTGCTTAGATCTGTCTGTTGTGTTACCTCTTGATAAAAATAGTGAATAAGTTTATTGAAGGACTTCTGCTATAAACCCCGAACTCATAGTCTGAAACATGGTTACTTCTGGACCTTATTTTTCTCCCAAAGGCAGGGTAAATGCTCATTAGTTGTCTGGGGAAAATCAGAATCTAGAAAGTCTACCTTAATTAACTATGATGCCTAAAATCAATCAATCCTTTGCAAAAAGCAAGTTTGGATCATGATAGTTCATTTGTTAACTTGATTTACTTTCCAAGTAAATGCACTGAGGAGCTCTCTGGAATTTAATAATAGGTAAATAATATAAGATTATTATCAAGTCTGAAAACCTGCCTTTAAGTTTCTTTCATGAGCTAGCTGTATGACCATTCAGGCTCACTAGATCTAATTTGAAAAATAAGGATATTATAATAGTGCACACAGAACTTCTCCAACTCTTAAAAAAGAATCTGGTTTATGATTGCCATGTTTGAACACAATTGGTGCATTAGATGTTGTGTTTCTTTTTCTTTGCAAACCCCAGAAACCCCTTCAGCACCTTAGTTTCCTAGGTTATACTATGCAAGTTATATGTTTATGCATGTGTGTGACACTGTGACATAACTTAATTGAAATTTTCCCTAAAAAATGAATATTGAGTACAAAATGGATTTGGTATAAATTGTCTTCTTTAAAAAAAATTTTTTTTAATTGTCTTCTGGCCTATGACTGCCATATTATAATTTTAAATAATTTTATGGGTTTTCTAATCAGGTAATACATTTATATTATTCAGAAGGGAATAAAACTTCATTGCATTAGTATTTGAAATTGGTAAGCTCTGTCAATGAATGGAGTTTAATTTTCATTTCTAATGACTTGACCAGTTAATTTCTATTCATAAAGATTTTCAATTATGTTTCTTTGGTTATTGATACTTGGATGACTTCTGAAGTTCTCTATTCTTTCCACAGAACTCATCCTTTGCAACCTGATCACACAGATGATGAAAAAGAATAGACCTTAAATCACCTTTGGCAATTTCTCCTGTTTCTTGGGTACTCTTCCGGTGTAAATTTGCAGAAATAATATGTGCTTCAATTAGGTTTGTCGAATAGGCATTTGCTTAAAAATTAGGCTTAAATTTATTTAACATAAAGTAGTTATGACATTGGAGTGTTTGTAAGATTAACATATGACTACTTAGCTTAGTATTCTATATAATGTAGTATTTAGTTTCATCCCTTTACTTATTAAGCTTTTTTTAAAAAAAATTTTTGTTATTTTTTATTATTAAGCTTCTTGTACTTACTAAATAATTGCGTGGTGTTCTAATTACAAATCTACTGTATTTGAGATCTGCTTAGCTATTTGTATGAGCATTTTTATTGGCATGGTGCCAAGTTGTTGTTCCTCTTACTGGCTTTAAAAAGCAGTTAGCATAGGATCAGGAAGACAGATTCCATAGACTACCTTGAGAAGAATTGTCCTTGGATATATATTTGGTTTACTGTCATAAAATACTACCCTTTCGGCCATTGGAAATAAATCAATAAAGCATGAATGATAAATTATGCCATAAACCTAGCAGTATGTCTAAAGTCCTCACAACCATCATTCTATTTTTCAAGATAATCAAGGGTGTAATTGAAGAAGTGGTTGTAATATTACTCAGTGGCTGATATGCTTGTTTCTTCATCAGACCTTTTGTTCGCTGATATCTTGTTATTAAAAGTAACTTTCTAACACGCATACTGAAATTTGTCTATAATAAAACAAATACTTATTTTCTTATTATATTATCTATTTATGTGCTTCTTATCATGTCCTATCAGATATTTCTTTTTTTAATCATTTTTTTTGGGGGGGTCATACAACTCTTAGCACAATCCACACATACATCAATTGAATAAAGCACATTTGTACATTCGTTACCCTCATCATTCTCAAAACATTTGCTCTCCAAGTAAGCCCGTGGCATCAGCTCATTTTCCCCCTCCCTCCCCACTGCCCATTCCCTCATGAACCCTTGATAATTTATAAATTATTTTGTCATATCTTACACTGTCCGATGTCTTCCTTCACCCACTTTTCTATTGTCTGTCCCCAGGGAGGAGTTTATATGTAGATCCTGGTAATCGATTCCTCTTCTCTACCCCACCCTCCCTCCACCCTCCTGGTATCACCACTCTCACCACTGGTCCTGAAGGGATTATCCGTCCTGGATTCCCTGTGTTTCCAGTTCCTATCTGTACCAGTGTACATCCTCTGGTCTAGCCAGACTTGCAAGGTGGAATTGGGATCATGACAATGGAGGTGGTGTTGGGGTGGAGGAAGTATTTAGGAACTAGTAAAGTTGTATGTTTCATCTTTGCTACCCTGCACCGACTGGCTTGTCTCCTCCCCGCGACCCTGGGGATGTCCAATTGCCTACAGATGGGCTTTGGGTCTCCACTCCGTACTCCCCACCTCATTCACTATGGTAAGATTTTTTGTTCTGATGATGCCTGATACCTGATCGCTTCTACACCTTGTGATCGCACAGGCTGGTGTGCTTCTTCCATGTGGGCTTTGTTGCTTCTGAGCTAGATGGCCGCTTGTTTACCTTCAAGTCTTTTAAGACCCTAGACACTATATCTTTTGATAGCCAGGCACCATCAGCTTTCTTCACCACCTTATCAGATATTTCTATTTTATTCCTTACAAATGCAAATCTCATTGTTCTGATTTTATCAACTTCCAAACTGAGTTTTAATGATTGTAGATTTTCTTTTTGGCTTTTTTTGTTGGAGTGTTGCTACTGAATTGGAAGGAGAAAGCTTTTTTTCTTATGTACTTTGATAATTTTAGGTGTCTTGGTTTTTTAAAAATCATTTTATTGGGGGGCTCATGCAGCTTTTAATCATTTTATTGGGGGACACATGCATACATTGTGTCAAGCACATTTGTACATTTGTTGCCATCATCATTTTCAAAACATTTTCTTTCTACTTGATTGATATTGATAGATTTTTCTCTTTTTTTCCATAACTGTATATATTTTAAATCATTTTATTAGGGGCTCATACAACTCTGATCATAATCCATACATACATCAAATGTGTAAAGCACATTTGTACATTTATTGCCCTCATCATTCTCAAAACATTTGCTCTCCACTTAAGCCCCTGGCATCGGCTCATCATTTTTCCCCCTCCCTCCCCGCTGCCCACTCTCTCATGAACCCTTGATAATTTATAAATTATTTTGTCATATATTGCACTGTACGATGTCTCCCTTCACCCACTTTTCTGTTGTCCCTCCCCCAGGGAGGAGGGTATATGTACATCCTTGTAATCGGTTCCCCCTTTCCACCCACCCTCCTGGTATCGTCACTCACACCACTGGTCCTGAAGGGATCATCCGCCCTGGATTCCCTGTGTTTCCAGTTCCTATCTGTACCAGTGTACATCCTCTGGTCTAGCCAGATTTATATGGTAGACTTGGGATCATGATAGTGGGTGGGGAGGAAGCATTTAGGAACTAGAGGAAAGTTGTATGTTTCATCTTTGCTACATACCCTGCGACCCTTCTATGAGGGTATGTCCAATTGCCTACAGATGGGCTTTGGGTCTCCACTCTTCACTCCCCCTCATTCACAATGATATGATTTTTTGTTCTGACACCTTGTGATTGCACGGGTTGGTGTGCTTCTTCCATGTGAACTTTGTTGCTTCCGAACTAGATGGCTGCTTGTTTACCTTTAAGCCTTTAAGACCCCAGATGCTATATCTTTTGAGAGCCAGGTACCATCAGTTTTCTTCACCATATTTGCTTATTCACCTGCTTTGTCTTCAGCGATCATGTTGGGATGGTGAGCATCATGGAATGCCAGTTTAATAGAACAAAATATTCTTGCATTGAGGGAGTACTTGAGTGGAGGTCCAATGTCCATCTGCTACCTTAATACTAAATCTATACATATATGCAATAGATCTATTTCCACATCCTCATATATATTTATATATGTACATGCCTGTATTTAGATCTCTATAATTACCAATTAGGTGCCTTATTAAGGAGTAGCTCAAACGAAATCTATAAAAGTCAAGTTTTTATAGGTCTGTCTGAAACCTGACTTGTTATTTTTCATTTGGGGAGACAAAGACTTTAAGGCCATGTGCTCAATGATGTCTAACATTGTTGTTGTAGAATAACTTTTAGCCCTTTCAAATGTGCAGTTTCCACCCTCTCTCATATTTATTAGGGAGGAGTCCTATATAAAAATGTTTACTTTTCAAAGCTTTCTTAAAGTGTAGCCTGGTAACTTAGATTCTATTAACATAAGTGAGGAACAGCACAGACTCTAGTTCTACTGGGGAAAAAAAGTTTATCCATTAAAGAGTCAACTAAATAAATTTTATAATTTTGTAATTCCCCTAAGTTGATTTAGTTTCCCTCTTTGAATGAATTATTGAAATGATTAAAGCTAGTGTTAAATTCCTGACTAAACAATGATTAAAGCTATTGCAGAGTTTTGGAATGCTACAATATTACGTGGCTTTTATGTTTATGTAGTTTCTTGAAGAACAAATATAAAGGAAAATTCTAGAGAATGTTCAAAGAGTTACTTAAAAGGAAATAAATATTTAAAATTTTAATTATACGGAACCTTTCCTTCATATATACCTCCTACAGATCTATGGCGCTTAGAATTCTATGGTTTACTCACGTTTGAAAAACACTTGACAGTTTAGTTAGGATGAGGTCTAGCCAACATTATTATAAATGGTTCCTTTATCTTTAAGAATCACATCTAGGCCATGGGTGATGTCCTCATCGAATTAAAACTGGGAAGAATTTTAGATAGAAATCATCTTGTTCAACCCAAGCCAGTTACTGTTATTTATGAGATGGTCCAGAGTCCTGGTGTTCAGTGGGGAGAAAGAGGAGGCTTTCTTGTTCCATAAATAGAGTCTCAGAAACTCACAGGGGCAGTTCTATCATGCCCAAGAGGATGGCTATGAGTCGGAATCGACTTGATGGCAGTGAGTCTGTGTGTGCACGCGCAGTGGTTAGGGCACTCTGCCAACTGAAAGGCCAGTGGGTATTTCAAACACACCGGCTCTACTGAGGCTAAGCTCATTTCTGTAAACTATGAGGCAGTTTGACCCTATCTGACGGTGTTGCCAGGAGTGGTCATTGATTTCACAGCAGAGGGTTTAGGTCTATAATTTGGCAACTCTAATTGTAAAAAAATACCATGAGCTGAAATTTTATATGTTTTGTAACTCCCCTTCTAGTCTTATCTAGTTTTATCCTTGAAAACCAAACCCATGACCATGAAGTTCATTCTGACTCATAGTGACGCTATATACACTTTCTAAGGCTGTACATTTTAATGAAATAACATAGAATGATTTTTTTCTATGTGACAATCTTCAAATACAATTTAAAAGTAGCTTTTATATTATCATTTTATTTCTCAGGCTAAAAATTCTATTTAAGTCACATAGTTTTCAGATGTAATGGTATTCTAATTGAGTTTTTCTGAGTCCCTTATGTAAAAGCTTATGTCTTTTCATGTTTAATGTTTAGGCACATAATGTAAAGTTGAGTTAATTTTTTTTATTAATTAACTGTTGGACTCTTGTTTGGTTATCTTATATTTGGAGATGCCAATGGAATGTTAGGAATATCTAAACAACAGAATGTTGTGTTTCTGACAAAATACTTGTTGGATATGCTAATTTTTCCTTAAATGATAACAGAGGACAATAAAAAATGGGGGGAAGGGAAAGGCACCTTTCAAGAGATCTGAGACCACTGTCTAAATGGTGGTTTATATAGGATTTGGGGGTTCCCAGTTAACAAAAACCCAAACTTGTTGCTGTCAGGTTGATTCCAACTCACAGAGACCGTATAGGACAGAGTAAAACTGCCCCATAAAGTTTCCAAGGCTGTAATTTTTATGGCTATAAATTTAATTTGTATTTCTTCTTGAAAAATGGCTGGTGAGTGAGAACTGCCAGCCTTTCTGTTAGTAACTTGACTACTTAACTTCCACTAGAACCATTTGCCCCTCTGGTATTGGCCACAAAATCCTAAAAATGCCGTTGAACCAAAACATCGAATTTCAGGTGAGGGTTGGGTTATTTTTAGAGGCCTCCAAGCAACTCATACATCAAGTGATATTTAAGAGCCAATCCAGTTAGTTATTCGAGCATCTACATTAAAATGATATATTTTTAGTCTTTTTATTTTTATTTATTTTAATCATTTTATTAGGGCTCATACAACTCATATCAGAATCCATACTTACATCAATTGTGTAAAGCACATTTGTACATTCATTGCCCTCATTATTCTGAAAACATTTGCTCTCCACCTAAGTCCCTGGAATCAGCTCATTTTTACCCTCGCTGTCCGGTCCCTGCTCCTTCATGAACCCTTGATAATTTATAAATTATTATTTTGTCTTGCCTGTCCGATGTCTCCCTTCACCCACTTTTCTGTTGTCCGTCCCCGAGAGAGGAGGTCACATGTAGATCCTTGTAATTGGTTCCCCCTTTCCAACCCACTCTCCCTCTACACTCCCAGTGTCACCACTCACACCACTGGTCCTGAAGGGATCATCC